GTGACAGTTTAGTTCTATGAGCATTAAAAATATAGCTGGAAAAGAACTACCTTTCTGTAACTACAATAATTTTTATATCTTTTTTGTTGTTATAGATGTTTTTACCAATACAGCAACTGTTTTCTATATTTTTTGAAACCTCAAAAATAATTTTCATAAAGTCATCCTAAAGTTTGAATATCATGATAAATTGCGCACACTCGATTTGGTTACCTAAGTTAACGTTTTTTTACACATTTATATCTGTAGTGTCAAGAGTAAGCGATGTATTGTAAATATAAATGAAATTGAATTTTACAACCTGACTTAGCGGTAAGTTTGTGGGCTTATAACGCTAAAACCCCGGATTCGATAATCCATTGTGCAACTTTATGCTTCACAACAAATAAACACAATATTTTATATTTTGCCTTTAATTAAAGTATTAGATTTGAAGTACATTTTTTAAAGGTTAGAAACTTCTGAAACTTAATTTGTAATTTTATTGGAGGTCCACGCAAGATTATAGGTCAGATTCAAAACTAAATGAAGGTAATGGCGATGAAGAATTTCAGTGAAACTAAAACTTAAGATTTATGTCTCTTTTTTACATGCATTTAGCTGTACATGCAGCAAGCGATATAAATCATGATAAGATATGGCACAGATTTCTGCACTATTTTCAATGCATAACAAACAGATCTTAATATATATACAAGTGTTTAAGTGTTCAGACTTTTCATATTTATTAGCCCAAAGCTACACAGTGAGTTATCTGAACTGTACCCACCACGGGTATCGAAACCAGATTTTAACGTATAAACTCTCAATCTTACCGCTGAGCCACTGGGTGGCGGCTTTTCACGAGTATTATTTATCACGAGATTTTAAATTATAGTTATACTTTCATGTAGTACAGTAATAACCGGTATTTCTAATACAATATATCGTTTTTAAACAGACAAAAAAAGCTAGCCAAAAACCTTTTAAAGTCTTTCTTTTCTCAAACCGTTCGACCTCACTTTATTTACTTTGTGGCATGACTAATGATCGATATAAATGATGCCACAGGATTTTGTTTACCACTCAATATAAATCATAACGATGGAGTTCTGGGAAAGAGAAATGTATCTTGTTCACACATTTGTCATCTGGCTTTCACATTCAAGGACTATTTTTCACATAAGAAGCTTTTTCATTCCCACATCTATTTCATTGTTTTGTTGGTTTACTTAAAACTAATCTAGAAGGGAAAAAAGGCTCAATTACTCTATCAATGAACTGATATTTGTTTCAAATATCAACACCTGACAAGGTTGCATCGAAAGTTACTTATTAATTGATGAAAAGAAGAAGAAAGAACACTTTATGAAGGTTATAGTATAAGACAAACTTGTGTGTGTGTGTCTTCACTAATTTTACATACGGTGACAACTAGACTTTTAGTTGAGTATTATAGGTTCATATAGAAAACGGTTTTTCGTAATGGACTTATACAGAATGATCATAACTGCGACATATTCATAGAAGAAATTAACAAATTTCTAATTTTCTCTGTTTTAGCTGTTTAGTTAGATCATAGTAAAAACAAAAACGAGCACGAGGACGTCAGAAATAGAAACATGGTGAACACAGAATTAGTGAAAAAAAAAGTAGAATATCCCTCAACTTATATTACTTATGAAAACATAAGGTGGTACTTCGGATCTTTTAAAGATGACATTTTAATCGTGTGTTAAGTTTATCTGAATACAAAATGCAAGAAAATTTGCTTCCCGGTGGCTCAGCGGTAAGTTCGAGGGCTTATAAAGCTAAAAATCTGGATTTCATACCCGCGATGATCACAGCACAGCTAGTCCTTTGTGTAGCTTTGCGTTTAACAATAAACAAAGAAGTGTTACCTAACGC